TCTACTACTACTGCCACTGCTACTACTACTACTACTACTACTACTACTACTATTACTACTATTACTACTATTATACTCTTTACTACTACTTTTACTTACTACTACTACTACTACTACTACTACACTACTACTAGGATGACTACTACTACTACTACTACTACTACTACTACTACTACTACGCCTACTACTACTACTACCACTACTACTACTACTACTACTACGACTACGACTACGACTACGACTACAACTACGACTACGGCTACGACTACGACTACTACTACTACTACTACTACTACTACTACTACTTCTACTACTACTACTACTACTACTCGGATTCGTGCACCACATCACCACGGCTCAACCGCCTTGGGATGAGCGTCCTTGTGGCTGCCTCATTTCCAATATGTAGCGAGCACCTCTTCTGAGTGAAATGGCGGGTCTGACGTGCGTGCAGCGGCGGGCGCTTATCCGAGGGCAGCTGGCCCCTACGGCCCACAGTAAAGCGACAGCGGCGGCGCAGCAGCACACGGGGCGACCCGAGTACCGCCATCGAGGCCAACGAGCGCAAGTAGGCGCGAGAAGAGGCCAGGATGGCAAGCCAAAATGGCTAGGCGCACAGCGGCGGCACAGCAGCACACGGGGCGACCCCAGCACCGCCAGCGAGGCCACCGAGCGCAAGTAGGCGCGAGAAGAGGCCAGGATGGCAAGCCAAAATGGCTAGGCGCACAGTTGACCGCGCGAAGAGCGAAGGACTAAGCAACAGGGCCCGCGGCGCGAGGGGGGGCACCACTGTGGGCGCACCCGCGCGAGCTGGCACGGCGGCGTTGCTAAAGCTGGAGCGTAAGCGAGCATACAGGCGCAGCATCATTGAGAGTGGCAGGCTCGGGATCTTAACACAGGAACTCACGCGGCCCCCCCGAGGGCTCAGAAGTAGACGATGCTGGGGGCCTGCAGAGTCTCAGCGTTCAGGCGGACTGGCCTGTCCCTTGCGCAATGGCTCCGAAGACCTGCGACGGCAGCGCCTGCACTGGGAATCGAATAAGGAGCCTTCGGGCTGAAAAGTGAGGGCGGTGGGGGGACAGAGGTTTTGCTCCCCACGGGAGGGTTTCGGTGGGGGGGCGAAGGGCGCTGCACCCCCACATGCCCCTGGGTAGTAGGAAAAAATGTGCGCGTGTGTGACATGATCAATAGTCATAGCGCGCGTGCTACATATGTACAGGAGTATCATGGACACTTTTTGTGGTGTACTTCATATGTCCCCCAGAAAAAAAAAAAAAAAAAAAAAAAAAAAAAAAAAAAAAAAAAAAAAAAAAAAAAAAAAAAAAAAAAAAAAAAAAAAAAAAAAAAAAAAAAAAAAAAAAAAAAAAAAACTATAGTAGCTGTGACTCGTCGGCGTAATCCCGTGAGCTAGTAGGGGTGACTCGAGGTCCTGGATGTGATGTCGCACGCCTGTGATCCCATAAAGGGTGTTTTTTTTTATGGGTCTAGCGTATGATGTCAGAAAAATCCCGTGCGAGTAGGGGGCCCGGGGAGATCCCTGCGAATCCGAACGCCTCAAGGTCGGGGAACTGTTGGAATGTAGTTGGGTCCTTCGCGTCGATGCTTCAGCCATTTTGGCTTCCTGAGGGGGCTTACAGCCCCCCAGCGGGAGTGCATGGACGGTGTGCTGGCCAGGGCTTTAGGCCGTTTCGCTCACCACCATACGGTCCCAAGCAATGGGTGCTACATGCTTTTCCAGACGGCCGCGGCGCTCCGCAACGCCGCCCAGTCGGCTGGGGCCGTGTGCCCAGGCCAGCTCGGGGGGAGGGCAGGATGCAGCAAGATGATAGGCGAACAGTGCAGCATCGTGCTCTAGATGAATCAAGCAACATAAACATAGACGTTCGGAGGTCCGCTCGGGTTTGTTGGGTCGACGCTGGACCCCCTCGGCGGCGCCTCCAGCGCCTCCACTGGCGCGCTTCGCGCGCCAGGGAGGGAGGGCCAGCACAGCTCCAATAACTCCGCCGCGCAGACCTCCGAACATGTATGCTTATGTTGCTTGTCTGAGTGAAACGCCCCTGCAGGTTCAAAGATGGGGACGTGAGGGATGGGGCCCCACGGGTGAGGGGCCTCGAGCAATGCAAACTATGATTCGGGTCCCGTCTTATCTTTCATCTTATCTTTCGGGCCCCATCTTTGAACCTCCGATCTATGCCGTCGCTCCCCGCGCCGGTGGCAGGCGGATGGACTCCACCAACGTCGGGCCCGCCGTACTCAGTGCTCGACCTGGTGGACGTCCTGGCGCAGGCAGGTATGCATATGGGACCGACTGCCAGAGCTATGGGCCAGTTGGTGGATCACCAAGTCCACAGTGCTTTACTTCGAGGAGGGGCAGGGACAGATGGGGCAGGGAGAGGTACTCCTTCATTTACTTCGCCCTGGATTTCATGACCTCTGCACTTCCCTCCCCCACCCGCGCCGGCCCCTGCGCCAGCCCTGTCAACTCTTGCCCTCGCTCGTCGCTTTCCCCTCTCTGATGTTCCGTGGTGACCCGTGGTGTCCTGTGGTGTCCTGTTGAGTGAGATCGATCATGAGATCGTTGAGAGGGGCACGCGGGTGAGATAACATAGCATCGCATATCTCAAAATGGGGGAGGGGAGAACAACAACGTCATAGCGGAGCCGCAGAGGATGCGCCTCAAGAAGGCGCCGACGCTATAGTCTTGCGCACCCGCGCTTCGGCAAGAGGGGATGATGGACAGCTGGTGCTTCGTGGTTCAGAATCTCGGAGAGCTCTTGAGTCTGCGTTTCGGAACATGTCTCATCCAGATCTCGTTCGGGCTGCGTTGGATATCACTTTGCAGAGTCAGAGAGTACAGAACAAATCAGCCGAACGGTTAGCACAGATACAATTGATGACAAGAGAGGCCACGAAAGACAAGAAACGAATAGTCAAGCTTGAGACTGAGCTGGAGCAAATGAAATCCAGAATGCGCGGCTTCACCTTTGCGAAAGCGCCTCGGAAGCAAAAAACGGATGCAGACGGTGTGCCTGTGGAACCTGTGCGATACACTATGGAGAAGGAGGGGTGGTACAGACTGGGGTTCAAGAGGAACTACGGGTACGCTGGATGTCAGACTACTCTTCAGATGCTGGACACGGGGGTGGGTGGGGTCTCCTAGCTCAGCATGCCACTGGACCCTTACGCCCCTGACCCCATGCTTTTCATTTTGCTCCTCCCCCCTGAGTGCCATCCCCGTCTTGCCCGATCGCCCAATGATCAACCATTCGAGACTTTCCCTTGCCTTCTATCTCCAACCATCCCTGCTGCCTCCTACCTCCCTTGCCTCCTACCTCCCTTGCCTCCTACCTCCCTTGCCTCCTACCTCCTGCTGCCGCTGCGTCCCTCCCTCCTGCTTCGTGCGTCTCTGTTTCTTTCGTGCGTTCGCAGAGTGGAGCGCGGGCAGTGGACAGGAAGCGCCTGTGTCCGACAGAACGGCGGCCAAGGCTGAGAACCTCACCAGGGCTGCCATATTTTGCCAAGGCGTGAATTATTTCAGAACTGAGTTTGCTAAGTTGGCTGAGTATTTGGACATCATGTGCAGTCATCCTGGGCCGTGTGCCCGCTATGCCAGAGAGTTCGGCACCCCGGTGTTGTCGTGGGAAGTGCACGCCGTGAGAGGAGATGCTGCAAATTCCACCGAGTGGCGATCTCATAAGATATTTGGATCTGAACTGTGGTCCGCATTCTGCACGCCCCGCATTACTTTGGACGACGCGGCCACGGTGGTGACAAACAT